TCCTCCTCTACCTCCCATTGCATTTTCCGTGTATCTTCTGTCATGGGCCTTCGGCTCCGGGATGGGAAGGGAATCTAGAACAAGAGACATAGAGCACTCATCAGTAACAAAACCGGAAATGATAAGATTACCTGGGTTTAGCCGAGGAGTGGAAGAAGGGGGGAGGTGAAAAAAAGGAAGGTAGTTGTCATTCCCTGTTTTGAGGCATGAATACTTTCTGTCTCTTTGGATTGGTGAGAAAACAAGCCCATCACTTTGGCAACAGAAGGATCTCTTTTCTTACCCATTTGTTAATCCCTCTATGGTGTATTCCCAATCCGCTTTTGGATAGCTTGGGTTACTTCCCTCTCGGCATCTTGCATAGAAAGAAAACTTGGTTTGGACTGGTCTATTCTTGAGCATAGATTTCCCTCCCCAACATTGTGTGATGGTGCTTTATTCCATTAACTTTGTCTGTCTTGCCTATCTGAGCCAACACGTCCACTTGTTCTCCTTCCATATTGTCTTGAAATAGAAATTCCAAGTCTGGAGTCTCCCTATTTTCCTTTTCATGGAATTGTACATCTCCCTCACTTCCTAAGCATGATGCACCATCTAAGCTTTCCTCACCATTATCCTCCTCTGCACTATAATCAATCTATCCTTCATCTTCTTCCTCCCTATCCTCCATTCAATCCCTCACATACCGTGGGTTTGGGCAATTTGCTAAACGTTGAACCACATTGTTTTCCCCTAAATCTTTTTGAGGAATTCATTGCAACAAGCTCCCTTGACCTTCTTTGCTTAAACACTGTCTTGCTTCCCCTTCTCAACAATATTCCTCTTTGTTTTAGACAAAGATAGACGGGAATTCCCCATCTACAAGCTCTCCCTTGTTTCCCCAACCCATGTGATCATTTAAGTTGTTATGTGGGTCAATTCGGTTTTTATCCGGTTCCATCTCTCACCCTGTTGGTTCATATATAGAAGCTCGGCTAACTCTAACCAGGCTACCTCTCCTTCTTGCCACAGCAACATAAGAGGGCCTGCCCACTTGTTGTTCCCCCTAAGACTATTCCTTTTCCTGCACATCACCACTCTCCTCCATTCCCCAAGTGCCACATGTACTCCAACCTTCCACCTCATCATCATCTTCAACCTTAGCTCGTCTTCCCCAAAGAGACGCTTTAGCTCTTGAGGCCAACCAAACTCAATACTAGACACCATTTGAGGATATTTTAATTGATTAGGTTAAGTTTTCTGGTTTTATCTGTGCCACTCGAAGCTCTATGGTACGCATGTTTCTCTAATTTACCTCTAACAAGATTCCTCCCAAAGTCTTCACAATGTTTCCAAGGATTGTTTCACTATATTTTTGTAACTGCTCCACTCTCCTAATCATGGGAGAAGTTCCACGACTATTCGGAGATGTTCTGTTTGGTTGTGAGCTTTTCAATTCTGTTTTGAACTATAAACATCCTTAGCCTCTGTTCTTCAAGTTTACTCTTTGCTACATTGGTTTTACTCTATTGAACCATTTTGGACATACATAACATATTGGTTAGTTGATTTGGGTTGTTAGTGTATACAACGCCAAGGGTAAGAGCTATTGTATTCTAGAGGCTGACGGTCAAAAACCTTCTACACGGATAAGATATTCTCTAAGAAGCAACGAAATTGGTTTTTAGGAAAGCGAACACTTGTCGTGACTCCAAGGTTCAAAATTTCGATATGTATTATCAGCCAATACATATCATATCAAAGCCTTCCTGATACACCCCTACAGGGGGGTGTTTCAGGTCAGATAGTGGCTCGAAGGGTAGACGAGCTTTAAACCGACCCCTCTGAACCAAATTCAAAAAAGAAAAAAAAAAAGAAAAAAAAGGCTTATTGGCCTGTATCAATATTTTAAACCTTGCGTAACTCAGCTATTACTAATAAGTTGATCTATCTTCCTGTTATTAGTTGATATTTATTTGTAAGTTTTGGATCTATTCTGCCATTGGAAACCTTGTCTAACTATTGTGCTATAGCCATATTTCTTATTGTTTTTCTAACAAAATGTATAATTTATATGAATTAAAAACATTTGGAAACAGAACTTGTACATGCACACTATCTAAAAGTGGTGGCGGTAATGCAATAGACAAAGTTTGGTCAATAATAAACAAAGCATGCAATGATCAATTGCTTCTTTATTAAGTTCATTTCATTTGCAATCTAATATTATAGATTTTTCAAAAAGTGAGCAATTAGAAAATTTTGATATTTTAACCTAGTAGAAAGAACATGAGAAAATTATCATGTTTTTGCCACCATGTCACATGATCTACTAACTCTTTTGACATTTACAATTTCATAAGAATCATGTTTTAATGCAGGTACCAAGGCATTGGATCACAAGAGAAGCACTATGAATGGTAAAAGTCTGAAAATGTGCATATGCATGAAAAATTGGCTAGATGTAGAGGATAAAATGCAAGATCAAGGAGGATATGACACATCAACTGATAATTCACTAGATGATGTAGATCAAGATGGAAAAGGAGGTAGAACTCAAAGAAAATATTGAAGCCAGTTTTTAATATTCCATAATTGTATAATAGTTTTAACATTATTGAAAATTTTGATTTTCAATTATATTTGAAAGTTATTTGTGATTTTTTCCATTCCCATTGTAATTTTTTCAATTTAATTTTATTATTTCATATATGAATATATGATCAATTGATCAAATCAATTGTATATATTAAATTCAAATGAAATAAACTTTTTTAGATTTTTCTTTTCAATATATCGTCTATTTTGTTGTGTTTGTGTTTTTTATTATTTGTAACTTTATGTCGTCTTTACTTGGTAAAAAATAAAATAACTTCCTTCTTGGGGGACTCGTGCCCGCAAAAATGGTTCGTGCGCCCACATTACAACTCTAGGAAGATATAGGCTTACATTGCTCAGAGAGTATCACATGATTTGGGCCTGAGGAAATCAGGTTGTAACAAAAGACTCCATTTGGGAGGAGTGCAAATACAAATATGTTCAGAGCAAATACAATTGCCGCCATTTTCATGAATGACGGAAATTTGTATTTGTATTCTTCCCAAACAGAACCTTAATGATACACAAGTGTATTTAATAAACCCAATTTTAGTTGAAATCATTAAGGAGCTCAGAACCTTGATAACTCTGTTCACAAAAAACAAAAAACAAAGGGAAATTGTCTAAAACTCACATTGAGTTTTCAACATTCCTCTTAAACCCACTACAACTTTTTAACTCACCATGTCAGTAAGCTTTTATTTTCCAAAACTCACCTTCCATTAGTGTACCATTAATGCTTCTTAACAAAGGTATCCATGTCAGCATAAATAACAATTTTCATGACCAAATTACCCTTGAATGGTGAGTTAAAGAAAAAATGGTCTTTTCAGTTTTCAATTTTTTTTTGTTTTTTTTTTACATTTTTAATGTTTTGTTATAATTTCTAATGTTTTTTATATTGTTTTTTTTACATTTTTCTATTTTCTACAATCTATAAACTTTTGGTGTTATTTTCTACAATTTTCCTTTGCAATTTCAATATTTTTTGTAATACATTAACACCCATTAGTATATTTTTGAAAATATTTTTACATCTTCTGATTTTGTTTCTTGAAAATATTTGTTTGAACTTTTCCTTTTTCATGTCTAAATATTAAAATGGTAATATATTAACACCCGTTAATTTATTTTGTATATATTTTATATTTTTCTATGAATGTTAAAATGGTTATATATTAATGCTCATTAGTCTGTTTAACGTCAAGTTAGTGACATGGTGAGTTCTAGACATTTTGAAAAGTTGTGGTGAGTTTAAGAAAAATGCTGAAAATTCTTGATAAGTTCTAGACAATTTCCCAAAAACAAAGGAATAAGCCATTCAGTTCAAATGTTTAATCACATCACAAACAGCTCGTAAGCCTTTCTGTATTCATAATTCATGATATTTGAAGAGTATATATTTTCCGATGAAATATTTATGAATTAATTTCAGTTGCTAGTTCCTGTTTCTAAAGTCTCTTAATTTGCGAGAACTTGGAATCCGTGCTCATGTGGAAATATGCTCCATCTCTAATAGTCATGTTAAACTATTTTTTTTTTGTGATTTCTATTTCATCAACTGCAGATCTGGAATGAAAAATATAGTAGTTATTAAATTCAATGGGATCTTCATGGATCAGGTAGAATTGCTTTTTAAACTGTCTGGTGTCGCATTTAAATTGGAATTTATCATTTTAAATTCACTTACACCGGAGTTCTCGAGAATGACCATAAACCATACCAAAGGAGCATTCAAATTGATTGATGATTTGATGTGCACGGGCTTCAGCAAAAGCAGAAACCATAAACTGGGTTTTAAAATTAACATGGCATTGAATTTATAGACCAGACTACGTTTAACAAGGGCGCAATTTTTTTTCAAAACCTGGTTCAGTGTTGCATTGAAAATTTTTTACTGTCTTGATTCATAGTGATGGGTGCACACATGAATCTCAAGGCTGGAACCAGCTACTTTGCATTGACCAACTTTAAGTGCAAGGTTTGGAAGCAAAATTTGCTCACATTTTGAATGCAAAAATGGCTGGATAAACAAATTTACTCACTTTCAGTACAAAAACACATTCTTCCCAGACATCTGCAAAACTGAACTGGAGAGTTGAAAGTGACTTCAGTTCTGCATTTGCACTCTTACCAAATGCAGCCTAAGCTCAGTTTGGAAGGAGTACAAATACAAATATGTACAGTACAAATACATACAAAAATAATACTAAATACAAAGTTTTGCATTCTACATATTTGTATTTACACTCCTTCCAAACTGAGCTCTAGATAATAATCAGATTATGCACTGCCTCTGCCTTTGGGCTTTGTTGACTTGGCTTTAACCCAACTCCAGGTGCTGGTCTGAACGCTTTCCATTCTTCGTATTCGTGTGCGTGGGTTGGCTGGGAAAAGAGGGGGGGGNCTACATTGCTCTAGCCTTGATTTAAACAACAATGCACTGAATTATCTTCCCCCAGGGGGGTGGTGAATACAAGTACCATTTGCATAAATCTCTCATTGCCCTTTCAGGACTTCAACCAAGAAATGAAGTCCAAATGCAAATATTCCATTTTGTTTGACACGTACATTTCTATAATATATAATCATGAAACTGACACAGGCTTTTTACTCGTGCAGCGCAAAATTACAAAACAATATGTTGCTGGAAGAACCAGAAAAGGATGTGGGGTTAGAGTTATCACCTGGCATGGATTCCTCTCAGCCAGACCCTGGTGTCTGCCAAACGACACGCCATGTACAACTGTCCATTAGCATTGGTGTTTGTTCCAGTAGCAGTTAAGGACCCATCTTAACATGTATACACAGGGTCAGACAAGACGGGAGGAGGAAAACAATTGGATGCTGCATGGAGCGCTTAGAGCTTTAAAATGCACAAGCTTGCTCCTTCAACGCAACAAGCCAACAATAGCTTATCCAATCAAATTGCCACCATCTGTATAGTGTTGGCTATTTTGCTCATGAAACCTCTTGAAGAACTAGATTCAACTCCTGTGCAGACTTTGCAACCGAGCCTCCTCTTCTGTGCAAAGAATAGAAGATGGAAACTATGGCATGAATAAAAATTAGAACAAAGGGTGAACAAATGAATAAGATACTCACCTCACAAGTGAAGGCAAGCTGCGCTTGACCTTTTGGAGCTCAATAAAACAGACATTACAACGTTCCAGCCTGATGCCAATTAAAACACAACACCCACCATCGCAGTAAATAAATTTTTACAAAACATGAGAAAACAAAAACCATAGATAAAAATGAAGCCAAACAAACCTCTGTTCTGCCTGGATATCCACACCAACAGACGAAGAAGCTGATAATGTTGAATGGATCACAGAACCAAAAGTTCTGACTAGTTTCAGCAGCATCTCCATAGAAATGCCTAAATGCCTGAAATTATGATCTATGGTCATCAAATTGGCATTTCAACCTACTTATGAGAAATTATGCTATTTCATGTATGAAATTAGAGCACTTGTAATCAGCCACCCCAAGATAGTATATCCCACACTTGTTCATTTTTTCTTTTTTGATGAATCCACTTGCTAAAATTTTAAAATAAAAGAAATTTTTCCTAGCAAAAAATAAAGAAAAAAAAATTGCCCATCATGATTCTGCAAAGATCTTACCTATCAAAGTTGCTTTCCAGAAGACCTGTGAGGAGGGGCAGGAGGCATGCGCAAATTTCCAATGTGACCATATCCATTTTTTCTGCTAAAATGCTGATTACATCAGCAACGACCTGCATTCCACAGAAGGCAATTAAATTATCAAGACAGTTTCAAAAAATAATGCCCATAACCTGGATCAGTAATATACATACAGCATGATCAGACATCTTATCCATTGCGCTAATGGCTCCCTTAACATCATTCCTTTCCCAATACCTGCGGACTACCTGCAAAATTTATATACCATTGCTGCTATTAAGTCAACGGTGCAAATATGAGTCAAGATTTTGATTATATAATAAATTTCACCATGCAGGATGAAGAAATCGGAAAATGTGGGGACATTTGGTAAATTCTGCTAGAATTTTGGGAAATATGAGAAAAATGAGGAAATACTGAGAAAATATTAGGAAATATATAGAATTGCTTAATGAAAGGTCAAAGAATGATACAGATTAATTATAGTCAAGAATACAGAGAATAAAATAAAAACTGGAACAACTATTAACAACAAAAGGGAGAAGTCTGAAAAATTTTACTAACAATTCATTAACACTCGATGAAAAAAAATATAAATAATTTAAGTATAAAAAAACACAAGTGAGAGTGCATAAAAAGAATTTGACAACTTTGTTCATCAGCCATTTGAATGGTTGATGGTAACAATAGAGAATAGTACTTATTTTCAAAAAAACGAAGTAAAAAACAAACAAGAGGAGAGAAAATAGGGAAAGGGACTGCTTCTTCATGACTGATTATGACTTGGAAAATGACACTTCAGCACAACTAAGTGATGCCACAAAGCTTCTATGAGGAGTATAAACTTGCAAATTGAAAAGGTATGGCAGTAGTATCTTCTTCTTCTTCTTGCCTGCTGAGTCAATGACCAATGGCAGATCTAATTTCCTGCCGCCACCAAAACCACTACTGCAGGCTTTCTCCTCCCTTCACCAGCTGATGAGATCAGTAAAATGTGATTTCTGATGGAGGATCTGCCATCTTACTGTTGTCAGTCATCTCTCTTTCAGTCAGCATAAGCACTGCCACCACCACCTCTTCAGCCATCTCTGACTCTCTCTTTCATACTCTCTAATCTAACCTTAAATATTTTTTTTTGATCAATAATCTAGCCTTAAATATGAATAGGGTTAACAGGTACCGGTAACTTAATATGCTAATCTAATGGTCTAGACCAATCTGTTGTATAACAGTCTGACCCATTCAACCAGAATTTTGAACTGTTAGTCACTCAGAGAGAAACAGCTTGATCTCTGGGTTAGGCTTTAAAAAATTACAACCAATCATACATGGGTGTAGTGGAAGATGCGTGAACTTGCAACTGGGAGTTGGGATCCCTCCGATGACTTCTAAAGGATTCCAAAGTACAACATAAAAGACACATAAATGAACCCAGCCAAAATGAAATATATGATCACTTAATGATTTTTTATCCTATAAACTTTTTTCATTTACTATACAACCGATATCTGTAGCCTTTCCCAACCCATGATCATTCAAGTCTAATTTTGAATATGATAATTTTCTTGGATCAGTAATTAATAATCAAGAGAAAAATTAATAATGATAGTATAATAAGAGATGACAAGTAAGAAAATGAAGCATAACAAGTAGGCCTGCCCCAATCTTCATAGAAGACTCTCCAACCACATTAATTTGTTGCATTACAAATAAATCAAATCAGTCCTTAAGGCTTAAAGGGCTTAACAGGCTTAAAGGGCTTAAAGGCCCCTTTTATGTAACTGTCTGCCAGCCAAAGATCTCGCTCTGTCTACTTCATTAGTTGATCTCCTGATCCAGATGAATGAAATATTCATCATAGACCAGTGTTCGGAAAATCATAATTATATTATAAATCATAGAAAATGTTTAATCAAATTCAAATTGAATAATGAACTTTGTCATAAATCAAAAGATTATTTCTGCTTTCAATAGAATGTAAAAAATTAAAGATATATCACATGAAAAGCTTAAACAAACATAAAAAAGTGACTTACTTCACTTTGAATCCATATATACCATATATGTACTTAACACAACAAATCTTACAACTTATACATTTGGTATCAAATGTCTTTGCAAGATTGAAAAAGGGTATTTTTGGGATCGGGCCAAACAAGAAGCTTTGAAGCCTAGGAGGATCGTAAAGAAGTAGATAACTCCAGATCAGGCTTTTTTGGTGGTTGGTGAATATCATGTTTCATTGGCACCTTGTCTTATGGGATCCTGGCCTTTTTTATGTAATTGGGGCTGGGTGTTTTGTTGGAGCGTGCTGTCATGATGATCAACTACTAGAGGGTCAGTTTTGTACAGTTTAGGGTGTTGTCTACATTTTCTATGGAAGGAAAACTAGAACTAATGTTGCTTTTCTTGGGTTGATGGTGTTAGCCAGGGAGGGTTGGGTGGGATTTGAAGTCTGTTTTTCTTCTTCTCTTAGGTGACCTCTAGCCACCTTCCTTGTATCGTTTTATTTTTCTGTTAATAAATTTTATTTTATTACCAAAAAACACTAGAAGCTCAATATGGTATAATCAAGTTTGATTTGACAGTCCCAACACAAAAGTTATGGCTCGCTAACCTACACATGTTTGAAAATAAACTCAAAAACCATTCTAGTAGATCTTAAATAGCCTAAATAAATCTTATTCTAGTAAGGTTTTAAAATAAAAGACCCTTGAAAAAAATTAAATTAAAGGAATGTAAGAAGTAGAGAAATAGGTCCCAATCAAAGTGATTCAAATCAGATAACAATTTTCAATTTCCCCCACTTCTAGTCCTTGGGATCCAATGAGTACATTAATTTCAATGCCTGCAATAAGGCAAGAATTTCTACTGAAATAGCAATTCCATGACCAAGCAAGCCTAAGAAAACATATAAAAGATCACCACTGTCTTTGCCCAACTGATGCTTGACTTTTCCAGACTCCTAGCCCCTCTTGGTCCCCTCCCTCTGGATTCATAAAACTGAATTTTGATGGTAGTAGCTTAAGGAACCCAGGGCCTTCTGGGATTGGGGGAGTGTTTAGGAATGAAGATGGGATTATTTCTGCCATGTTTTCAGGCCCAATTGAAGAAGATGACTCCCTTAGGGCTGAGATTCTTGCAGTTCTGGAAGGAATCCAAAGAGCAAGAGATTTGAACATCAGGTGTTTGGTCCTTGAAGGTGACTCAGAGGTGGTGATTAGATGGCTAAAGGGAGACAGCAGTGGTTTGTGGAGCTATAGAAATGAAAGGAAAAAATTCAAATGGCTGAGTAGGGACATAGAGGTGAAGTACAGCTGGGTGAAGAGAAATGCTAACTCAATTGCCCGATGGGTTAGCCAAGCAAGAGGTGACTAGGGAATCTCTGTTTTGGGCTAATTTCTAATGTTCTTCCCTTGCATTCTGTTGGTGGGGAGTTAAGACATTTTATCTCCCCCTATTGTAATTAAAATTTCACAAAGTTTCACATCATTAATAAAGCTTACTGTTATTGATAAAAAAAAAAAAAAATGCTTGACTTTTCCAGATATGACAGCAGCCATCAAAATTTAACTTAACAACTCCATGAGAAGGGGACCAATATGAGACTCAAACCAGCCTCTTGGTGGAAGATATCAAAACCTCTTGCCACCTCTTTATCACATCATCCACAAGAAAATCAAAAAACTCATGTTGTAAAGACCCAATTAATCGCTCCCCAAATTAACCATAGAATAACGCTTCCTTCAATAAATCAGAAAACATCAAAACATCTCTTATGCTTCCCAAAATGGTGATAATTGACATCATCTTCAATGCAATATAACCTTTGATATTGAAAGATTTAATTTGATTTATATGCAATCAGTCCTTAATATAGGTGATTACGAAAAGGAGTTTTTCTGCAACTGGAGTTGTTCCAAAGAAAGATTCATTTTTCTTTGTATGGGACTCATGAGGCTTCTGCTGCAGTCCATTTAAACCAGTTGACTTCTAGAGGATGCCTCAACACAGATATTAGCTTCAAAATAGAGAAAATGGTTTGGAATTTCAAGACATCAAGGCAAGGCTAGGCAACAAGGGGGCACCTCGTCACCTAGTTGCAATGGATTTTTTTAAACAAAACCATGAATCCTAGGGTAAATCCTTAGGTTCCATTATTCCATAGCAATCAACAACCATCTTTTACTAGTAATCATCTATGATCTTCATAAAAAAGAATAACTTCATATTAAAATTAGGATGTGAATCAATTTTTGAGTTGATTTTAGTTTCAAATTTATTCTTTAGGTGTCAGTAAATTAAGAATGTGGTCTTAAAAGAGTTGCAAGTCAAATGTCTACTTGTCAAGTTGGTTGGTCCACATAACCGTAGGTGTTTTGCTTTGTTTTTTGTTTTTAGGAGTCCAATTTAGTCAAGAATAAGGGCATGGTTTATAATTTTGATATTGATGAAACATTTTGCCATGTAGAGTTGGAGAAATTCCGGAGATATTTCACTAATTTTAAAAGATATTTGGAAAATCTAAAAAATCAGGTAAGTTTTCTAGAAATATAAAATTACTTAGCAAACCTTCAAGAGATAATTAGAAGAAGTGTAATTGCACAATTAAGGCTCAAAACCATAGCAAAGAACTATATAAATCACATAGGAAAAATTAAGAGACTGTAATAGGTATGTTTCTCTTTGTCTCCCTTTTGGTCTTTAGCCATCTCTTCTTTTTTTGATAAATCATCTTCTCTTCTTTTTATATGCCAATTATTTGCCATTTCAAGTTGTCTTTATTGTTATTATGTTTAAATTTGATTGAAAATACTCTTTTGTAGTTATATGTATTTTTCTTTTTCTTTTGAATTATAGTAGCTTAATGAATCTTATCAAAGTAGTAAGCCAATTATCTAATCACCAATTCCCTGTTGGTTCTTTTAGGAATATATTTTAAAAAAATTATGATGGTTTTAATTAAATATTGAAAAAAATTAATAATGTTTTTTAATATCTTTTGAAGGGCTACACAACGGGGAGTAGCCCATCTCCCAACTCACAACCCCCCAACCCGGTGCAGGTGGGATGCGATCCCAAGTCTCTGCTACAACCAGCAGGAGACCTTACCAACCAGCTGGTTGGCACCTTGCAAAAATGTTAATAATATTCTAATATTTTATCAATGAAATCTGAAATATCGCCAACATACTGGCAAACTATTGGGGACATTTGGGAAAAAAAAGATTCCTGGAAGATTTCTTATCACCACCTAGAAAATGGGGATATTTCGGGGATATATCGCCAAATATCATCGATATTTGTAACCAGGAATAAGGGCTAGCAATTGATCAATAAAAAAAAAAAGAATAAGGGCTGACCTATTAAAAAGGCTGACCTCAAGTAATTGCCAAGCAGAACTAAAATGAAACAAAAGTAGTTTTCAACTCATTTCTACATGAAGTGCAATCCTCCCCCCCCCCCCCCTTCTTCTAGTGCTCTATTTTTCTGCTGGTCTTCAGCAACAGAAAAATAGATTCTTCCATTCTCATTTCTGTTATCTCTTCTATCACAGCAATATCATTCTTTTCCTTTCTAAATTCTAACTTTCGAGTTCTTATTGCTAGAATTTCTATTCTCTTCTCAGAAATCTCAGACCAGCAAGTGTATTCTTCTCTGTCTATATTTTTTGTCAGCCTTTGCTAATAAGTATAACTTTTTTTTTATTTCTTTTGAAGGGCTACATAACGGGGGGTAGTCCATCCCCCAACCCATAACCTCCCCAACCCAGGTGCAGGTGGGATTCAATCCCAAGTCTCCACTACGACCAGCAGGAGACCTAACCGACCGACTGGTTGGCACCTTAAACTAATCAGTAGAACTTTCTCCATCCTGCCTAAATCAATCCTATCTTCCATAGGATTCTCAAAGATATTAGATCAGACCATTTCATAATCAGTCCTTGAATGCCTCAGTTTTTCCCTGCTACACCCAGTCATCTACATCAAGTCTGCAATTTCTCGCTTTTCTATTTAAATTCAATTAAACTTTCTATGTTGAATAATTGAAAATAAAATTTTGACAAGCCTTCAATTCTGCAGGGTTAACATGCTTGGTCCCATCCTGTCTATTGTCTATCCATATACATGTATACACAGTCTTGTAGTGGATAAGATTCCTTCTTTTTTCTATTGAGATAGATAAAGTAGATTCTAAACAGTACGCAGTACCTATTAAAACATTCACAAGTATAAGCATTGAGAGAATGTATGGGCTCTAAATACCAATAATCATTCCATCAGAGATGAAATTTAAACCTATTGAAATCCACTTGACGGAAGACCAACAAATGGCAATTGGAAGGGGATTCCAAACTCCAAAGAATATCTCCCCTCTTGCAGTGCCATACTTTGATCAGATTTAAATGCAACATGGTGCAACTCCAGATGATCTGAAACTGGAAACATTGTGTGCCCCAAGCTCTGTATGCGTAGCAACAGTAAAACAAGCAAAGCACACTTTCAGCTTCTTGACTGCATGGGTTGCATAGAGGGACATCCTTAGAAGCTTTGAGTGTCCCAAGCTTTGTTGGCAAAGTGACAGTGGAACAAGCAAGGCACACTTTCAGCTTCTTGATTGCATGGGTTGCATAGAGGGTCATCCTTAGAAATTTGATGATAAGGATTCTGTGTCTATATGTAATCCACGTAAAAATGCCACTTTTTACGGTACATGAGGATTCCACATAAAGTTGGTGGAAAGAATGGTACATGGGGATTCCACAAAAAGCTTGTTGAAAGAAGCTTCTCTAAGAGCCTTTGCAAAAGATTTCATCATGAAGGTTCCACCTGTTTTGCTCTCTAGATCCTTTCATCTTCCCCATTAGCTGCAGGCTACATCCTTTACAAAGTAGCCAACATTCTGGCAAGAGACTTCACCTCCCAATCATTTAAGCTTCTTAATCTTGGGATCCAAAGTGCATTTCCTTCATGAAATTCAGACACAACAGCTTCTTTATCCACTGCAAACTGATAAGACATGAATGATGCAATCTCTATCTGGAAGACATGAATGACACAATCTCTCACCAAACTGAACATCATGCCAAAGAGATTTGCTCTTTGTATATGATGGTTTAATGAGACATTCAATTTTAGCAGTTTCTTTTGGTAAACCAAAAGGCATGGTTCAATATGTTAAAACATTCTAAATTTATCCATATATTGCATCTACAAGGGTAATGTGGAACGTAACCCAAGGAATTCAAAAGCAAAGGAGACAGGAAAAATTATTTGTGACTAAGGAGATTGAGAAAGAGACAGATTTTATAAGGGGGGAGCAGCGTGGTGTGGGAACTGTTAACCTGCTGAGGATGCTTTGTTATGGCTTTAAGGTGCTTGTTTATGTGGGGGCTGTTTTGTTTTTTCTCAAAGGATATTTATCTGGAATAGGGCATTGTAGAGAGAAAAACTTAAAATATTTAAGCAAAGAGGATGGGATCAAGTACCTTCACCATCTACTAGATGGATGACTGAGTCAATAATAGCAATACTATAAATACTGTTTAGGATTGATGAAATGAGACATGGTGGCTACAAAATCTATTCGCATAAGTGGCAATGTTAAAACTTTATAATTTTCTATAATTTATAAGGAGAATTATATGATAGGGGGCATTGCTTGGTTTAATGGTAAAATCTCATGCTTGAATGAGAATGTGAGTTGGCCTGACAGTGGCCACTTTGTGCAAATGCTGAAGGTTAGTATCTTGTCCAGTCTACAGTCTACCATTCCCAAGACTGCAGATAGTTGGGACCATTACAGGGTGATGGCCTTTTATAAGATAACTATATAATACCAACTACTTTGCAATAATGATGAAAACCAATACAAGGACCTTTTATAATATAATATAAGGCATGAGCACATAGATATATGGGCTAATGGACAGACATATAATTGATACAAAGTAAAGCTAGACATCAAAGACTTAGCATACGAGCAAGGGGGTCATAAACAGAGGACAAGAAGGTTGCAAGTAAGCATGGGCAACTCTATTATTTTCTCTCCTTCCAGAAAGAATGTAAAAAACTTTCTCCTCACTCTACTTGCCATGCCAAAAAACCGTATGGTGGAGTAATTTAATCAGAATAAGAAGTTAAAAAGTAGATAAAAACATATATTAATAATCCTAACAAGCAACAAAGCTGAAGATCTATAGATTTTCTGTCTGAAATCACCTGTAGTTTGGTTAACCGAGACTGCATAGATCCTACAAACTGATCATGTACTTCCATTAGATCTGAAATAACATCCTCATCACTCACGGATACTGTTTCTTTTTCAGCAGACGGAGGGCACCCTCTCTGTACAGTACATGGAGAACAAAAACAAGAGTTAATTTTTAATATTTCTGCAGGGCACATAATCAAAAGCTTCAGCAGATCAACAGATGTACAAATGCATTTCTAAAGACATGGAAGCAAGATAGAAGGAATTTTCATAAAGGAATTGCATATTTCAATTCGTAGTCCATATACGGTAATGGGAACCAACTAGATATCTTAATTTAACAGGTAAAGAAAACATTTAAAAAAACTAGTAGAAAGCAGAAAACAAGCACTTAAAATGAAGCTATGCATGCCACGTAGTATTTCTTTTTTTTTTTTTTTAAGATAAGAAACAGAGTTAGGAGGGGTGGGGGAGGGAAGCTACAGTTTTCTGAAAATTATGGCTAACTCCACAAGTAAAGTTAACCTTCCGAAGGAAGTGGCTTAACAGAAACTTGTTCCTAATAATCCACCTGAACACCTAAGCCTCACAAAACTTCCTTTTGCAGTTCATATAATGACTTGTCAATATGAAGCATACTAGAAATATGAACTTATACAGCCTACAAAGCTTGAATGTTCCTATGACAACTGTAACACCTGAACTTTCTTATGATACCCATAATAGACAGATGTGGTATGTAATCAATACAACACTAGATGCTTGTAACCCCCCCCCCTTTCAACTAGTGCTATGCTTCTTCATTTTTCTTAACGAGGCATAAGCCTCCTTGTGTTCAGGAGGCTTATGCCTCTTACGTTCTGAACTATGCCTGTTTTAAAACATTGAGTAATTCCCATCATTGTTATTTATAGTAATTGTCTGTCATCATTACCATTTATAGTAAAAGATGACTTACTATTTAAAAAAATCTGGAGTCTTAGAACTAGAAAGTTACAGTGTCTTAATTTGAAAAGAAAGTTTCTACCTTTTGTTTTAAGATTAAATACAAGGAATTGGAGCCCAAATAGAATTGGAAGTTGCTAATTTGGGTCTATTAAAGAGTGTCAATGTTTTCAGTCCATTACTAGTCTTATTTTTTCTGTCTTATTATTAGTTAGTGCCACAGAGGTATATTTGTATTTTGTAATTCTTATTTTTTTATTATGTTTGCTCTCTTGCATATCTATAAATATCATTGTGGGTACCGCCAGCCCAGATTTGTGGCTTTCCCATCTTTATCCTCTCTTCTCTCCTCTTCCTCTTCTACTCTCCTACTGAATCCAAGTGAAAACATCGTACCAGAGCTGTGATCTAGTGATCTGGGCAGTAGAAGATTGCAGATCAACTTCTCTTCTCCCTGCGTTTTTTTTTTCCTTTTTTTGGACTGTAAAGGGATAAAACCTACATTGGACTGGTTTAGGCTACTGTCTCTACGGGTTCCCCTCCTTTTTCTTGGTACTAGTACCAAGATTAGTTGGTTTCAGTGACATACAATGCTGTGAGGAGGGTTTCCACAAGGTGTATGCTGGTTTATGGTGCTGCAGTGTATTGTAGAGTCCTGGTTCAGCAAGTAGTTACTGTCTGTCACTACCAGATGTATTCTGTGGGTTGGTAGTGGTTTGTTTATGGTGCATTGGGGCTGTGTGGCCTGAGAGTTAACAGTTACAGCAGTTCCCCTGGGTTCAGCTAGGGTTTCAGACCTGTTCTTTGTGATAAATCGTTAGTGTGGGTGATCACTGCAATGGCAAGTGAAGATTCAGCTTCGTCCAGGGGTATTTCTTCTCAAGGAATTTCAGTATGGGGCTTGACAGCATGAGTTTTCCTAATGTCCATTACTCTGAATGGGTTAAACTATTTGGAATGGTCCAAGGGTGTGAGACTTTATGTTACAGCTAGGTGAGGCTTTATGATAGGTGGGACTAGAAGAATAGTATGGTTACATCCTGGCTTCTTGTTGCTGTGGAACAGGAGGTGAGGAAGAATTTCATGCGGGCTGATACATCAAGTGAGATTTTGGAGCAGGCAAAATCTACCTATTCTGAACAAAGGCTTTATGCCAAGATTTATTAGTTACAGGATGAATCATCACCTGTAAGCAGGGCAATCATAGCTTGTCTGCTTACTATTCAGCCCTTACCTCGGTTTGGAAGGAGTTGAACCACTACCAAATTATGGAGTAGAAGAACGACGATGATGATGCAAAAGGCTTACAAGAACTTGGTTTCTCAACAGAGAATTTTTGCTTTCCAACTAGGTCTAAATCTAGTGTATGAGCCTCTCTGAGTTCAGGTTTTGGATAGTAGAGATCTCCCACCAGTTCAAGAAGTATATGCCATTATACAGTCATAGGGGAGTAGGAGTGATGGTTATAGCTAAGAGGGAGCAGCAGATTGCTCTAGCAGTGAAGGGTAGTAATAATGGTGTGAAAAAATTATAAGAGGAACGATGACAAGGATAAGTTGTGATGATGAACCCATTGCTGTCGTGCTAGACACACATGGGAAACTTGTTGGGATCTTGTTGGGAAGCCCAAGTCTGAAACTAAGAACTAGGAGCGAATAAGGGGGGCAAGGACAAAAGAAATACAATGCAGCAAATGTGGCGGCCAATGACTCTTAGACTGGAAGTATAACTACTAGTAATTCTCAAGAGCATCAGACTGGTTCTGACCCTAAGGAGGATATCATTAACTCTTTTAGGGATCACCTAGAATCCTAAGGTAGGGCACTGCGTCAGATGGATCTTCTATCTTACACAGTGCCCTACCATAGGATTCTAGATGATCCCTCAAAGAGTTAATGATATCCTCCTTGGGGCCATACTCCCTCCACTTCTTTTGCATCTACAACAAGTAATGCAGCCTCTGCTTTCCATGTTTCTACTTCCACCCTTGATTCTCCCTAGATTATTGACTCAGAGGCCTCCAATCACAAAACCAGTAAGTGTTATTTATTCCAGTCCTATAGCCTCTTGTCTAGGAGGGATAAAGTGAGACTTGTAAATTGTTCGTTCTCTTCCATTACAGGTCAGGGATCAATATCTCTCCCCCATGGCCTTGACCCTTTCTAATGTGTTACATGTTCCTAAGCTTCCTTGAACTTGCTTTCTGTTAGTAGTATCACTCACTCTATAATTGCAATGTAACTTCCTCTCCTTGTTCATGTGTTTTTCAGGACCTAACCTCCATGAAGACGATTGATAGATGAAGCATGGTGGATGACCTTTACATTCTTGAGAATAAGCTAATCTCTCGGTTTCTACATCCGACTCAAGTAGTCAATTGAGTCAAGATAATAAGAGTCAGGTGTTTTGGAGGCACAATTTTTTGGATCATGTTTCTTTTGAATTGCTAAAGTATTTGTTTCCTAGCTTGTTCAAGTCTTGTTTAACGTCCAACTTTCTGTGTCAAACATGTCAACTTAGTAAACTTTGTAGAAACTCTTTTTCTTCCAATAATAAAAGATCATAATTTCCTTTTCATATTGTGCACTCTAATGTTTGGGGACCCACTGCTATAATCTCTGAGGGTGGATACAGATATTTTATAAGTTTAGTTGATGATTTTTCTCGTTACACGTGGATATTTCCTATGTGAACCAGAGATAAAGTTCCAAAAATTGTAAAAGATTTCTAGCAAATGGTGTTTACATAGTTTCATGTGGAGGTTCAGATATTTCAATCTGATAATGCAAAAGAATACTTCTGTGGTGATCAAACTAATTTTTTTGCATCACATGGATCCCTGTACTATAGCTCTTGTGTAAAGACATCACAACAAAATGGTGTTGTAGAAGGAAAAAGTTGTCACCTTCTTGAAGTGGCTCGTGGTATGATGTTGCACATGAATGTTCCTAAAAGTTTTTGGATGGATGTTGTACTTGTTGATGCCTATCTTGTTAATTGTATGCCCTCCAGAGTGTTAAATTATAAGGCCCCACATCAACTACTTTATTCTCAGTCCCCTTTGTTCTCCATCCCTATTAGAGTTTTTGGGTGTCAGTCCTTTGTTCATGATTTGTCCTCTTCTCGTGGCAAGTTGGACCCTAAGTCTATTTCTTGTATTTTCCTTGGGCATCCTTCTACTTAGAAGGGTTATAAGTGTCTAAGCCTTTCTATCTCGCTTCTCCTTAGAGGGAGAGTTGTGTAGAGAAGCAAGCTCAGCCAGTTCATCTTCCTTCCATCCCAGATCCTACTCCTTTTTGTGTTTTTCTTCTTAAGCGTCGCAGAGATCATCAAAGTTCTAAGGATGTGGAGCTCCTAGCCTCCTAGATACTGTGCATCCAATACCATCAAATTCTCAAGAGGCAAGTCCTCAACTAGGTACTCTCATCCCTGTTGATTCTTCTGTTCCCATTGCTATTGATAATTGTGTGGATGACCTTGACATTCCCATTGAATATAGAAAGGATGTCAGGTCATGCAATACTTCCCATTACTATTGATAACCGTGTGGATGACCTTGACATTCCCATTGCCCATACAAAGGGTGTTAGGTCATGCACCACTAAACACCTCATTACCCACTGTCTTATGATCACATTTCACCCTATTATTGTGCCTTCCTGTTTGCCATTGATAGTATCCCCATCCCTAAAAGTGTTGCAGAGGCTTTGTCTTACCTTGAATGGGAAGATGCTATAAAGGAAGAAATTAATGCCCTCCATAAGAATAATACCTGGGAGTTGGTGGATCTTCCAAAGGGGAAGAAGCTAGTATGGTGTAAATGGATTACCCATTATAGGTATTTTAGTGAAGCACAAAATGGATGTGACAGTAGAAAGGTATAAGGCAAGGTTGGTGACAAAAGGCTACACACAGGTGTATGGCATTGATTACGTCAATACCTTTGCACCAGTTGCAAAGATGAATACTATTTGTGTCATCCTATCTCTAGTTCCTAATCTTGATTGGGAGTTGCATCAATTTGATATCAAAATTGCTTTCTTGAATAGTGATTGAGAGGAGGAGGTATGTAGACTGAAAAAATCTCTATATGGGTTGAAGCAACCTCCTAGAGCTTGGTTTAGTAAGTTCCATTATGGTTGTTTAGCAGATTCGCTTCAGAAAATGCCAAGTTGATCATACTCTCTTTATCAAGAGGAATTAGGGAAAGGTTGCAATATTGATAGTCAATGTAGATAATATTATAATTACAAGTGATTAGAACTCTGGGATACAGAAGTTGAAGGAATTTTTAGCCACTCAATTCAAAGTAAAGGATCTAGGACCTCTATGGTACTTTCTTGGGATTGAGATTGCCCATTCAAAAAAAGGGTATCTTCGTGTTTCAAAGGAAGTACATCTTAGACCTCTTGAAAGACACGGAAAATAGGTGCAAAACCAGCCAATACCTCTATTGATATGAATCATAGACTGGGTGACTATGATGGTGAACCTCTAAAGGATGTGAAACAGTTCCAAAGGTTGGTGAGAAGGTTTTGTACTTGTCAATGGCACGCCCTGATATTGCATATGTTGTGGGAGTCTTGAGCCAGTTTATGCACTCTCCAAAAGTACCACACTTGAAAGTTGCAGAAAGGGTACTTAGGTATGTGAAGAAATTTAAGGGCTGGGTTGTTGTTCAAAAACCATGGTCACCTAATAGTGGAAGCTTATATGGATACAGATTGGATAGGTGTGGATGATAGAAAGTCTACTGTTAGGCATTGCACCTTTCTAGGTGGAAACCCAGTGACTTGAAGGAGAAATAAGCAAAGTGCAGTTGCAAGATCAAGTGCTGAAGTAGAATACAGAGCCACGGCACATGGGGTTGCAAAGGTGCTTTGGATTAAGAGCTTACTAGGAGAGTTGGGGCTTTAATGTTGACAGCCTAATGCCTCTCTACTATGACAATAAGGCAGCTATAAACATTGCTTCTAATCATGTTCTCCATGACAAGACAAAACAAAACGTATAGAGGTGGACAAACACTTCATATGGGAAAAGCTGGATAAGGGTGAAGTGTGCACCCCCTATGTCAATTCAGAAGAACAACTTGCTGATGTTCTTACCAAGGGACTTCCATTTTTGTGGAATAATGAGTTGTGTGACAAGTTGGGTGTGATTGACATATACAGCCTAACTTGAGGGGGAGTGTTGTCAATCCATTATTAGTCTTATTTTTCCTATTTTATGACTAGTTACTGTTGCAGGGGTATACTTGTAATTCTTCTTTTTTTATTGTGTTGGCTATCACATACCGATAAATATCAATGGGGGTATCACCAGAGCAGATTTTTGGCTCTCCAAGTTTTCTACTCCTTTTCTTCCTCTCTTCTCTTCTCTCTTCCTCTTCCTCTTCTATTCTCCTACTGAATCTAAGTGAAAACAGTCAAGAAGTCTTGTAGAGAACACTCCATTGACCACTCTACTATGGGTCGGTTTGGTTTGCGGTCGAAATCAGAATTGAAATCTCTTGGAATCAAAAGCACCTATTCCTCCCACCTGTTTCCATAAGATTTGCATGACCCCCAAGGAGGGTTGGCATTGGGTAAATATAAATAGGGTTTGGAGTTTTAACTCATTTTTTAGTTGGCCAACTGGAATGTTATTCTCATTCACAAAGGGGGAGGCCAGAATGGCAATTCCCTCAAATGGGGGAATGCCATTTCACCAGAATGGGGATCGAAATCCCATTCCACCCAACCAAATGGCTGGAATGGGCCATTCCAATTCCGATTATGGACCCCTGTTCCTACAAACCAAACTGATCCTATTTTTTTATATATTTTTGCCATACTAAGTAAGGATTGAATAAAGAATTTTTTTTTTCTATTTCTACCATGGCCAACAACTATATTAGAAGTTATTCTTGCTTCCTCTATTTTCTCTTCTTTGTTTGTGTGTTAACATTTGTGGCTAAAGCTTGTTATTGTGTTAGAGATTTTTCTGCTCCACTTAGTGTCGACAAATTTGTAGTGTATTGAAATTTCATAGGGTGCAATTTTAATCACACCATTGTTATCATCCATGCAGATAGATTAACCTGTCATATCATCTATTACCCCCTTAAAAACATCAGACTCTCAAACACGTTTTATTTAATGTATCAACTATCAACCACCAAAAGATATGACACAATATGCCCGATACAGGACGTATCATATTGATACTTTGAGCCTTGCCACCACCATATTTCCAAGTAAATGCCACCATCTGCTATCAGTCTACTTCATTCAGTAAATATGCAGCTTATTTAAGGAAAAAAATTGAAAGAAAAACAATAAAAGAAGGAAGACAAATGCAGAGACAGAGAGCACCACAATTTACAGTTGGAATTGGGCAAAAGAACTACCATACCTGATTAAATGAGTTAACAGTAGATGCTGTTTCAGAGGAATTATTCAATGTAGGTCCTTCGTGGCAAGGAGATCTTTCTCTCTTCTCCCAGTTCGCAACCAGTGAACGTGTCCTCCCTTTTTCAGAATAACAAAACATTTAGGCTTAATTAATAATATGAAAAATATCATATGCAGCACAGAAAAGGATGTACCTCCTTTTTGGACTTCAACAGAACAAGCATCCCGGTTTACTTTTGGCAACCGTGCATCATCTGAAACAAAATATTGGAGCTTAATGCCTTAATCCTTATGTTGGACAGTCATAATTATTATCTAAAAAGATTACTCATCAAGACTACACAAAATGCATACAAGAGGACTTTCAATACATCCAACTACGGGGAAAAAGAATGACAAATATTTATATCATGTAGCAGAAAAGAAGATGAAATGTTCCAGCAAGTTCCCACAATATGAAATGTAGTCATTAGTCGATCAGTCGGTGTCAAATCCCCACACACAAATATTTTACCAATGCTCGCAGCTCAGACAAATGCATTGATATTTCAGTTATGAATAAGGAAACTTACTCAGGGAGATATGACAGAATAACAATCAACTAATTCATTATGTTGCAATTAGTGAGGAATCAGTTACACATGCTGCATGTAATGGGCCATACAAATGAGATGCCAGGTCATATTTGTCATCCACGGTAAAGAGAAATCTGAAAGAATGTTAGAGCCCTTGGACTATTAAGAAGCCATATTTCATGGCAAAAAATAGTGGATCTTTAGTCTGAACCCAGGTCACTGGTACCAAGATCAGATCTTTTCTGTATCTTTTATTTTTTTTCTGACATAACAAAGGATTCCAAAGGAGCCGAGGCAAACCAGGGAAACACAAGTAAAACTGTAAAAGACAAGAAGACATCATCCCAAAACATAATAACTTCAGCAAAACTCACAATCCAATAAATAACCCTCAGAACACATAACTAAAACAAACAATCAAACTAGTCCACACACCTCACATCTCAACCAAATTTAGAAGAAACCATTGCTACCTTGCAAAACTGAAATCAATACGTTTCAACTGGACTATCTTACAGGGATGCTTGGTACAGTTATAAAGTAAACCATTCTTTTTCACATAGTTAAGTTTCTGGTTAGGCACACATACATACACAGATAATAACTTAATTTGCAACCTTCAGTGGAACATTCTCAATAAGAGCCTCTCTGGTTTGGGATACCTAAAATTCAGTGTTTCTAACACTAAAATTGTCTCTCTTCTATTTTCCTCATTTCTTCTTTAATTTTCTACTTGACATGGAGAACTAATTTACAAGCAGTCTTCTGGGCAACAAGTTTATAGCATATAAATTGGTTTGGTCCATAGTTTTTGTTTTCATACTCCTATCACTGTTTCATGCAACATTACTATTAATTAGAGAGAGAGAGAGAGAGATCTAAACACCAAAATGACTAGAACTGAACCATGATAACATCAAATAAAACAAGAAATATGCCATTCTGTCAGTCTATCGCCAAAACATCAAGATCAATAACAGATAATAACCCAGTTAGATGAACAGTATGACAAAAAAAAAAAAAACATTGATTTTTTTAAGATAAAAGATGGAAAGCTTCCAAGAATTCAAATTGCCTGAAGCACAACACAAAATACAAGATTAACTGAAGAACAATAGCCATGAATTAAAACCTTAGAAATCACAGGCAACCACATCTGGCACATATAATAAAATGAGGAGATAAATAACTCTCAAGAAGTTAAAGCATACAATTTTCGTGTTGGAAGCTAGAAGGTGGCTCTACTGATGTATTTGTTGCATGTTTCCCAAGCCCAACGCATCTAATATCCATAACATTTCTTTCAGCTGTAGAGAATGCAGGGTTTAAGCCATCACCAGCAGGAAGGAAATTCTGGTCTGTAACTTCACTTAATTCCGTGTTCCTATAACCTATAGTTCCAGGTTGGACAGAAACATTCTGCTTCTCTGAATCATCCCGGCTGTTTGACAGCTTCCGAAAATCAGTAGTTTTTGACTGCATGGAGAGTGGATTTGTTCTTCCAGCACTAATAATTTCTTTACGGGATTCAGCAGCCTGCTCCAACCTTGCACTTGTTCTGGGAACAATGACGGGAATTACATCTGACTTGTTGAAGATCGAAACATTGGTTGTTGAATGGGACTTTGAAGCACTCCTCTTCAGAGTTGTACTAGGTGCTGTAGATGTATTTGTTGTAGTGGTCTTTGGACCAGAATTTAGGCCCACTCTTTGAGGAGTACTGGGAATACTTCCTGTGGCTTCATTCAGTAAACAGAACCCATAAGAAGAAACTCCCCTGGGCTTTAAAATTTGAAGTAGCTCAGAAGGAATGACAATCCAAGTAAAACAGAAGAGAAAGGAAAGGAAAGATTAGCATACATAACAACTGTTTGGACTCCTTAGCAATATGGTCTGAATTTTGTGAAACCAACAACCTCCCTAAAGATTTTGTTTCCTTGATTAAAGGATCTGAATTTTGTGAGACTGATAGCCTTGCCATGCTAGCCTTTGTGCTGCTGTCGGTTAATATAGACAGATTCCCACTTGACGTTGATTTTGATTCTGGATGACCATTTGATCGGGTGACACTAGCTGCTACATATGGCTCTATGCGCTGAGATACAAAAAGCCAGATGTTATGAAGTTATGCAACATTTTGAAATTCAGATACAATCCAACACCACAAGATAAGAATAATAGCAAATATATAGGGATGCAACCACTGTGATGAAATCCAGGTCATACCGAGAGATCCACAACCCATACTCCAACACAACTTTGATTATAAGAGCATCCAAGAAGTTTTCCCTCATGAATGTTCAGATCTGATAATCTAGACCATCCCACGTCCACAGCATCATGACATCTTATTGGTTCCCAAGAGAAAACCTAGACAGTGATCAACATCAATCAAAAGCTAAACTATGAGAATATCAACTTTATTCAATTAATCATGTTCATGTCAAGGTTATAGAACTATCTGTTAGTTGTAACTAGTAGATGGTTCAGATTATCTTGTCAAGATAAATTGCTCAAAAGTATTATGAAAATTTAGAAATTATTCATTGACACTTCAGAAAACGATTAAAGGAGAATAAGTAAATACTTCTGAGTTAATTATAACAGTGAGCCCCTATATAAAGCAGTAAACAATGGAAAATAGACAAAAATGTTTCTATCATATATGTAGGACCCTTTAATCATTAACGAGATCAATAAGAATAGAAAGAAAAGATAAAATATGATCAATACACCTAGCCAACTGTGTTAAAAGCAAGAGGCGCAACAGAAGCACAATGCACAAGGCACAATGCAAGGCACATGCCTAAATGAAGTGAAGCACAACTTTTGCAAAATGAAAATAACAAATAAAAATTTGACATATAAGAATATGTAAATCTGGATTGCATCATCATCATCATCATCTAAGCCTTGTCCCAACCATATAGGCTCTGCTATATGAATCCTGCTTTGCCATTCCATTCTGTTCGGTGCCGTATACATCATTACAGTATGGGTACTTAATCATTTTTTATTACTAGCAGGTCACTTCTGAGGAATGCCCTAGCATGAGCATGAAGAGACAAATCAAGATCCATGACCATGATAGTTTGGCAAAAGTTTTATTGCCAGTTGTCAACCTGACATAACTCTCCTCCATTGTCAAGATTTTATATCAAATAAAAAGCACATAAACCTCCATAATGTCATAATGTGATAGTCCATAACCACATATAATAAGAAAAAAACATTGATAACTCAATATCTATGAAATGCCATAATCCAAATACATTGAAGACATAAAGATACATGAAGGCATCAAGAAGGTCAAAATCAAAGTTTCACAATAACCACAGAATAAATCATAGTGGAAGAGGTTCAAGCCTATGAAACTCTAAATGTGTTTGTTTGTCTCCTGGTTGCATCACTTTAGGTAGCTAGTGCAAAAATGTCTAGAATTCCTAGTACTAGGAAGTTAGGGAATTTACAGAAGTGGAGGGCCAACAAGCCCAAAATTCATTCTCAGGGTTAGGGATCAGAGGTTTGTTGGACTCCTGTTTTTCTTCAGTGGAAATTTTTCCATCTAATATCTTACTCACAACAACTAGAGCTTCAGGTATTCAAAAGTTTTTGTTTTTGTTTATTTTAAGTTAATAGACCATTACTAGTGTACAAGCAAAAATAAAAGGCTATTTAGAAGTTTTCTTTTTGAAAGCAAGGTTATTTGGAAGTTAATAGGCCATTTCAAAATGTAAACACCTTAGAGTATAAAAATAAATAAAAAAAGCAAGGGTTGCCCTACACCTCAGTCCAAACACATGCCTAGACACACCAGATATGCCTTTTAAAAGCTGAAAGCGACACCACATGTGTGAAAGCGGGGCATAGGCCTTAAATTCTGCCTCGCTTGTGCACCTAGGCATGCCTGAGGCGGAGTTTTTAAAATATCGGCCTAGCGATCAAAGGAATCACCAAATTCGCAAAGTGTCTCATCAATAGGCCAAACAGAAACAATTAGATCAGTAACAATCAAGAAAGGAACAATAAGGTGATCCAGGAGTGATGAACATGAATACAACTTCACTCTCCAACTTCAATGTTTTCAAAATTGTATGATTTGGGATTCAAATCATATAATTCAAATTGAATTGCAGCCAAAAAGATTCAAAATGCAAAAGACAAACTCCAAATACAAATCGTTGAATCAAATCATAAATCAGGATTTGAAGTTGAATCGAGCAATTTAACGTCAATAGTGTTTTAAAGAGTGAAAGACATTTCAGGCCACATTTCGTTTTATTTAATGAGGGGTATGCATGTTGCCAAACAGGCACATTGAATTTTTAGCTTCTTTTTTGTCTCTTTTTGTGCTTTGAAAAACAGGGATTCTATCCCATCTTTGTCTCTTTTCTTTTATGCTTTAAAAACAGGGGTTCTGCCCCATATTCCACATTGTTTTGACTTTCAGCATGGTACATTATTGTACCATGCCCCATATTCTCAATCCACACTGAGATTGACAAAAAATTGTTTTGACTTTCAGCATGGTACATTATTGTTCTCATTCTCAGATATTTAAACTGAATTTGCAACATGAATATGATATAGCTGTATGATTGTTCTTGAATTATTCAATTCTTGTTAACATGAAGGTGACACAATTGTTCTTGAAGTATTCTAATTCGTATGTACATACATATTCTCTTTGTATAAGTCCTTTTCTACCAATTCTTTGTTTAAGTCCTTTGTCTTAGTGTTCTTTGTGCTTTAGTTGTCAATATCTTTAAAATTTGAGGAAGCAGTGGAGATTAAAGAACAGTTGCGATTTTTTTTCTTAACTATGGAACAAGTAAATGGTTGCTGTACTGTGTTTTACTAGCAGTAAAAAAATGTCATTAGTGCATATTTATATTATGCCTATAGCTGAAAGTTGGTGAAAAGACACGTTCTTTTTTTTTTTAGATTTTCCAGTAATTGTTTTAGGAAATTTTTTGGCATCTTTTTTTACTTTTAGAAAAATCAGAAAAACATCTTACAATTCACGATACGATTCAATTCAAACCTCATTGAGATTTACAATGCAATCACCAAGAGTTAGATCCCTCTCAATGATTAAACTGCTAGCATCAGCACTAATATTGCACGGACATGGAATTTATCAAAAAAAAATATTGCATGGACATGGACAAGAGAACCAGAATCTGATGCATGTCTGGGAATCTGAATAAGATGAAAAACATAAACTTAGGTATTTTGGAGATCCAAACTGTAGGTGATCTAACATAAACCTTTCTTGTCCAATCTATTTTCTATGATTTAGGCTCCCCAAGAAGTCCACTGAGTTCAATTCAAGAAAAACAATACTTCCTTTCAAGTCAAAGGATGGTGCAGAAATTTCCCTTTACTCTCGGTTGGAGTATATGGAAGTAAAGCAAATGCAAGGATCTTGACAAATGATATTATAATCTTGGCATATAGTATAGTAATTAATTCTTTTTTCATATGGTGATAAAGTTTCTGATTACCAATCAAAATAAAATCTCAGTGCACTGGCTGAACATACAAAGGGACAGGTGTTCCATTTAAGTTTGTGCTCAAAAGTTTAAATTTATAAAAGTAAGTAATTACATTGGTTCAAATGAATGAATTTCTGTCCACCCAAACAATATTAGTTATTAACATATAGCCAGACACCTTTGGTGTAGCATCATCTATGGGTACTTGTCCCCTTGTACCAGGATTAAAATTGTTATACAGAACATTTAACATTTTGCATTGGTATCCATGGAAAAGGAAACATCTCATATAAATAAATGGAAAACTTACCTTCAAACTTTCATGTAACCCACAAAGCAGGGTTCTTCCATCAGGATTAAAAGTCATAGATCGTACCCCAGTAGTCTGCCATAGGAATAAAGATGGAAATAAAAAGTATTTGTTTAATAAGCAAAAATGTATAACAAATTTTTGAAGGCAGTAGCTAAACCCAGACCTTTAAAGAAAGTAGCAATCAAACCATAATGGTAATAAGAAATATTCATAGGATACCTCAGGTCCAGCTGAACCAATCAGCTCAAAAGTCTCAAGATCCCAAAACTTGACAGTTCTATCAGCTGAACCTGCAAATTCAACCAACATGCAGTTGTAGTTACGAAGGGATTAGGCTATACAATAACAATATGGGCAAATATTTAGAGCATATGATGAATGGTCCGAATAACTAATTATTATAATTATAAGGTCAAGGTCATCTGTTTAGGGTTGATTTTTAATTAAATCTTCTTACTAATATCAACATTATAGTGGGTCCTACCCCCTGAACAGTGGAATGGAAGATCAATATTCATGTAGCCAACCCTACAAGGTTAGGAGCTGGGACAAGGCTTGGTTGGGTAACTTGAGTTGTATTGAGTGTGTCCCACTCCTTGCGTGCATGCATGTTTAATAGCCTATTGGCTCAACTTAAAGTACATAAACATAATATATGAAACACATTCAAAATAAAAATGTATAAATAAAATAAAAAAATAGCATATAATACATATTTAAGCATTTAACAACTTAAGCATGTGAAACTTTCATCAAGTAGTTAATGTGATATTACACATTTGGCATTTGGCATTCTACAAGCCACTTCTATACCAAACCCCTTGAGGCAACCCAAATAGGTCCATGCCAAGGTCTTAAATTTTTAACTTGTATGTAGAAAGATAATTTTTGTAATTTTAAATGTAGTTCTTATCTTTTGAAACATATCTTGCATCAAGGATGAGGCAAATAAAAACTAAATGTTGATAGGTGTCATCTAAGAAATCTGGAACTGTTTTTTAGATAAATAACATGGTTCCATTTCATTAATATAAACAGATATGTACAAGGAGGACCCAAGAGAGGAAGGTATATTTATCTACCTCCCCTAAATACAAATATTACATTTGAGCCCAATACAATTGCCCCCTATTAACCCCCTTGCTTGCTTAAAGAATCAGCCAATCCATTTGCAGGCCTAGGAACCCACTCAATTGTTATTGATGTTTCCCTTGTTAACCATCTAATCTTCTTGATGGCATCTCTTTGTAAGTCAATGCTGTCTTTTTCTCATCCTTTTACCAACCAACCACCACTTGAGACTTGAGAGTCCCCTTCAATGACCACCCTCTCTAGGTTCAACTCTTTTATCTTTTTGAACTCTATAAAGTACAGCAAGCAGTTTGGCTCTTGTAGAGTCCCCTACGCCAACAGGACCCTAAAACAATGCCATTATACCACCATCCTTGTCCCTAACATCCTGATCAGTAATCCCTGAGGGGCCTGGGTTACCAATAAGCAATCTGGAACATTCAGGGATGGGATATCTCTTTGGAGATTATACAAGAAACATATTGATTATCTATTCTCATCTGGCTGGAGTAGGGAATTCATTAAGGGCTGAACTTCTTGCTCTACTTACAAGGATTAAAAATTGAATATTACAGAAGCCGATCTAGGTTAATTGTTGAAGCCTTGAAGGAGATTGTTAAGTAACTGTAACCCAGTTTCTATCACAGTACGAAGGGCCACAGAATCACAGATCTTAAGATTCATGATAAAGGGAGCAAAGACATCAGCTTCCAATTTGAACTGCTCATTCAAGTGGACTCAAAAGATCTGCCAATAGCTTGGCTGACCATTTATAGGCAAAACAATTTGGTTTGGGGGTTACCAGGCGCAAAGATGAACCTGTAACTCTGCTAGTACTCTATTGTTTAGCATACACATGTCAGCTTTGACCATCTTTTCATTCTAGTCATCACATTTCTAAGGACACTAAGAGAGTAGGTAATGCATTTCTCTCAGTTTATCATCAACAAATTCTGATTTATGTTTCTGATAAGAAAACTATAATATACTGCCGACTGAGGAAGAACTAGAACAGATGCATATATAGAATCACCCAAGGTTCTATTGACTGACAGCTGATGCTCTATACATTTACTTTTGGAAATAGGTAAAGTAACTTTTATTAAAAATCAGATAGAGTACAACAGGCCTCCCAAGGAAAATACCCTGGCCAAGCACAATCCGCAATGTATGAACACCATTAGAATGGAAAATTAAATAAATAAAATAAATAAATAGCTTTTGTAACCATTCACTGACAATGCCTTTTTTTATCAGCAGAAGAAATTATTTTATTAGATTTAAAGAAAGCTGTAGCAGTACAAATGATGACAGGGATGTCATCCCCAAGAGCTTATCAAGTTACAGTTACCAAGAAATCCCAAAAAGGCTAATAAGTTCCCAGCATCCCAAAATACACCAGATTACAATTTAGCCTAAAACAAGCTATCTCTATCAGTTCTTTGCTTTACCAATACATTGGTCATTCCACTTGCAGACCTTCTTATCCACCCAAAAGTGGAATTGAATCTTTGCCAAGGTGTCAATCTCTCTAAAAGCATGTCTGTATTACCATGGAGCTGATCTGATATTCTTGGACCAAGATATGACTAACTGAGAATCGCCTTCCACTTCAAATTCCCTTACTCCAACTTGTACAGCAAGCCTTAATCCATGTAAGAGAGTCATCACTTCAGCTTGTACTGAATCTCCAAAGCCAATTGGTCCTGAAAATAATGCCACCACCATTCCTTCGTGGTTTTTAGAAACACCTCCTATTCCTGCCCTTCCATCACTGACAATGCCTTTTTTTTTATAGATACTGACAATGCCTTTTTTCCCTCTGTACTTTTCCATTACTCTTTCAATAAAACCTTTCCAAAAAGAACCTTATGAAAATTCAAAACTTAACTTCCCTAGATAGATAATATGGTAGGTTTTGTAAAAGAAAGGAGTTTCAAATAGGCATGTGAACCTAATTAAGGATATGCATAAGGGTTTAAAAACCAATGTTAGGACTCCTATGGGAGAGACATCAGATTTTACAGTTACAATAGATCTTCACCAATTCAGAACTTGGTCATTCATTATTTATTTGCACTGATCATAGATAATGCAGTAAACATATTAAGGAGGAGGTCCCATGGTGCTTGTTGTTTGATAATGACTTTAGAAGAAGGGGGAAGATTTTTTGGCACTTAGCATCTTTGGTTATTTGTTGGTGTATCTGTAAAGAAAGGAACAGCCACACTTCCGAAGACAAGGCATTCCCAATTGAGCAGGTGCAGAGCAAGGTGGAAAGGATGTTAGTTAAGTGGGCTTCAGTCAACAATTTCCTTAAGGGCTTCAACTTTAGTCTGTTCTCTAGTCACTGGAGTAGTATTTTGTGGGATAATGATTTTGTACTGTAAGGCTTTCCTGCCAATGTTTTCTTCCTGCTTTGATGTACTCAGCTATTAAGGAAACTTCTCCTCAGCGGCCTTTATATTTACTTCTTTTAATAGAAAACTCATCTTTCCTCTAAAAAAATGACATTATTTTTTGCGATTTGTGCGTGTCATCCTTACACAGGGACCATGCTAATCTTCTCTGTATCATTCCAATTTTATCTGATGTCTCCGAAGATACTAAAAAAATGGCATTATTTTAATTGATGAAACAAATGAAAGATTAAATGCAAAATTAAGTTTACAGACAAATACCTAAGAAACAAGAGGTTTTAAAATGAGGACTAAAACAGAATTATGCTATGTAAATTTAATAATAACAGGAGAGCAAATCAAGGTATACAATTAGGATTGGAGACCAAGAGATAACTCAATAGGACCTTTCATGGTACCTTGACTTGATAGTTCATAACAAGGGAGAGATTGAAGAGGATGTTGCCCATAAAATTAGAGCAAGCTGGGCAAAATGGAGGGATGATCCAAAGTCTTATGTGATAGGAAAATACCACTTAGATTAAAAGGAATTAAGGAAGATTCTATAAAACGATTGTAAGGCCAGCAATGTTGTATGGAGCAAATTGTTAGGTAGTCAAAAATACATGTCCAAAAAATGAGCATGGCCAAAATATGTGTTCAAAGATGGATGAGTGGAAAAACTAGAAAGGACAAGGTCATAAATGAAGTCATTTGAAGGAACTTAGGACTTAGGAGTAGCTCATGTAGGTGAAAAAATGAGAGAAAGTAGACAAACATGGTTTGATCACATGCATTGAAGACCACGTACAGCACCCATGATATAATACAAGTTGAAGGGGCTAGAAGGGCTAGGGGTAGACCAAAAAGGACACGGGTTGAAGTAGTAGGAAATGATTTAAGTGCCCACTATTTAACTATGAATATGGCACTATAGTTGTGATAAGGCTCAGATGATGATGATGATGGTGATAAAGATAAAGATCTTTAATGGTTTCACTGTCAAATCTGTCTCATAACCAGGTCAATCCCTAGTACACAATCCATCACATCACATAAGGTCCTAGGTCATGTACCTCTTTTATTCAGGTGCCATGTATGGTGATGCATTGGCACCATAATACTAGAAAAGAACAGAAGACATAATAACTTAGCACCCATTATCAGGAAAAGAATAGCCTTCAGAGAATTACATGCTCATGTCTAAGGTAAATGAAATGGAAATATTACACTTAAGTAGTGAACAAAACATTTCTTACCTGTTGCCAGCAGAAACTCATGAGGATGGAAATCTATACATTGTATCTGGCCCTCATGACACTTGAAGTCATGCAATAGCTTTCCGGCAGTTAGATCCCACAGCTGTCAAATCAGGATCATCATGAGAATTGCACAAGATTGAATTTTGTCATAAGTTTCACCAATTCCTCATGCAGTAGCATAAGTATGAGGTAAAAAAGTCCAGTATCACCTTCACAATGTTGTCTTCTCCACCAGAAACAACCCAACGGCCATCTGGGGTAAATCTGATTGCATTGACACCTCTTGTGTGGCCCTTGTATGTGTGGATGCATCCCTTCCTCCTGATATCCCATATTTTAAGATTTGTATCTAAGGAGCCAGAAGCAAAGAATTCACCAAAGGGATGGAAGTCAACTGATATGCAATTGGATCTATGTCCTGTAAGTGTGCGAACAACTGCAGGCAGAAAGCAATATAAAGTATATATGTTATTTTGGTGTACTTTGGGACAGAATCCAGAAGCTCAACAAAGTCCAAGGTGCATACTCTTTGCCTCTTCTAGATCCCACAGCTTAATTGTGCCACTAGCAGCACCCGCAGCCACCAAAACTTCAGAAGAATCAAAACTCACCGACTCAACTGCACTGGTATGACCAGATAGACTCTGCATAGCAGCCCAAATATGTAGATCAATTGAAACATCACTGCTGGCCAAACAAGCAGAATATTGGTAATACCCAGATCCTGACTATGACTGGTATTCATTGGACAATGTATAACATCCATCCAGAATCTCAATCAATTGCATTCATTAAAATATTAAAATATATCTGTCTATTTTCATGTGTGATACAATATAGGAAAAAAAATTAAGCAATCTGTAAGGAGTTGTGAGGTGTCGCTCAGCACCCACGAAATAAATACAAACAGTAGTTGTGAGGTTTCATCCAAATGCATCCACCCCAAATCGTTAATAAGGACGATAAGTGCAGTTATGAGCATATGCAAAGGCAATATTGACTTTCAAACTATACAAATATTTTCATTTAAAGAAAGTTAAAAAAAAGGGAAATTGCAATTAGGAGAAAGGATAACAGAATAAGAGGGGACAGGGAGAACTGACCAAGATGGCATTGGGCTTGCCGATAGCCCACAGGTTAACCTTGTGATCTTCTCCTCCAGTGACGAGAACTCGCGACGACTTCCTCCCAATCTTGAGACAGTTGACATTGGAAGAATGTGCTACAAATTCCTCTAGATAAATCGTGGTTAAGGCTACAAAAATCCACTCGGTCCATTTGAAATAAGAAACCCCCAAAATAGCATAAAATTCAACAAAAAGTCCAACTTAAAGTAATTATGGTGTTGATGAGTGTCAGCAGAAAAATATAGTACTGGATATCGATGTTTCATAAACTAAAACAAATTGTTGATTATGTTCAGATCGAGTAATACAAATATGACACGGTTCCAGGATCAAACCCATTACGGCCGTCAAAGAAACAAACAAAACCCTAGATATAACAAACCAAAAAATATACATATCACAAAGTAGAAGAAGGATACGTAGCTTATATGCGCGCTTGGTCGTCATGAAGCCAGGAGGAGGAAGAAGACAGGTCTCGTTGCCGATGGAAATGAAAGAAAAACAGAAACAGAAACCCAAACCCAAACCCTAGGTCTATCTCCGTGTTGAAATGCTGTTTCATCTTAACATCCGGCGGATCTCGAGAAATGGCAGCATCTCTTCTTCCCTATTCATCGCCGAGGATCTCAAGCACCCCACATTATGCTTTATATGTAAGAAAACAAAAGCAACAACATCAACAAACTGAACCCAAGAAGAAGAAGAAAAAGAAACTGAAGATTCGATTAGAGAAGACGCCGACACTGCTTCTTACCATCTCCCCTCTTTCACTTTCTGCTACTAACAACTACCAAACTCCTACCAGTGTGAGTTGCTACACCCAATCATTCCATTTCGAATTTTCTCCTCCTTCTCTCTCCTTCTTCTTCTTCTTCCTTCTCTCTCCTTTCCTCCCAAGTCCCAACACCCAAAAAATAGAAAATGGACAACAAGAAAAACAAATACTGTAGGTAGCAGTAATATTATTTTATTTTCTTTATATGATTTCAACAACTTACTATGTTTTTTATATTTGAAAAGAAGAGAGGGAGAAAGAGGGAAAGAGCGTATAGGTGTGTTGGCTAGTTGGGTTGTTTCTTTCTTTGCTTCCAAACCTACAATTTCACACTTCACATTTGACATTTTCTCTCACTAAACATGCCCTTCTCAAAGGACTAAGAGACAAGAGTGGTGGCCATGTCTCCATCTCTAAAAACTCAACCTCTCATCTGACTGCCTTAATAGTTTCTCTGATGGCTAAGTTAATTAATAATTTAAGCAAGAATTGAGAGAATCCCACAAGAGTTAAGAGATAAGGAAGTGAGTAACCCCCACTCCCTCCTTTCAAAATCAAAATCCAAAAAGAAAATAACATACATACCCCACCAGACCACCACCCTCCCTCTCTCTCTCTCTCTCTCTCTCCTTGCTCTTTACCATTCTAATAACATTCTCCATTTCTATTTTATTTTTTTTTTCTTCTTTTCTTTTTCTCTTTGATGTGGGCACCACAGGAGGAGGCTGCAACTTTTTCTTTCTAGAGCAGCCCAAGTGTTCTTCATAAGTTGACTGTGTTTAAAAGCTTAATTAAAGCAACTGCTATTACTATTATTATTCTCACATGGACATGGGAATTTTCTTCTCTTTTTTTTTTCTATTTTGGTGAGAAAAAAAATCTTCCACTTTCAATGCTTTGTTTATCCTTTTGGGGGGAGATGTATCATCATGATAATTGATGGCAGATTTTTTTTGGGCCTTCTTAGCTCATAACTAGAGACTTAGAGAGGAGGGACAAGTATTTCCATTACCACAAATCATAACTGGGAGACAAAAATGTCGGCACTCTCTCTCCTCTCTCCTCTCTCCTCTCTCTATCTCTCTATCTGGAATGGGATTAAATTCAGATATAGAGCAGGCATATAATACAAGAATGATCATAAGGACTCCAAATGAAGATCACCCATGCATCATGGATGAGTCATATAGATTCTGTAGACTAATAGGATAACTAGGTTGACAATCCTTTTCATCCACCAACCGGACTTCAAATTTTAACCTACCTTCCGTACATGCAATCATACATATAGAGGCATCTCAATTTTTTTTTTCGACCTGTATTTTAAGGGGCTACCGGTAAGAAGTGAGGACATAATTTGAATAAGAACAGCCAGAGAACCAAGTCGAAGATGAGCCCATAAAGCTTTCCATGCAACCTGCACGTTAGATAAGGTTTTTAGCCAATGTGAGCCCATTCTGCATGAACCCCAGGCCTCAAATATAAGTCTGGGCTGTGTTCCAAGCCTATGAGTTTATATGTAAAACATTACATATGTTAAGACCTGGCAAAAAGTTTACCCAACCCAACCTGAAAAAAAAAAAAAAAAAAAAAAACAGGGTTAGGGTCTTACATGTAGCTACCTGAATGTGAGAATGACCCCACCCGACCCAACTCGGAAAAAACTAGGTTGGGTCATGGGTCAACCCGCTGACCCGATTGTCAAGTCTAATTGGGATTATTTATGCATTGTTAGAAGTTTCCACTCTTTAATTTTTTCTATTTAGTCTTTACTATTTATTGTTTACACTTTAAATTGTTAAATGTTCAAGTTTTTTATTTTATTTTTGGAATTTTAAGGTTAATTCCTTTAATTTTGACATTTTTCATGTAGTTTTCTTTATTTTTTTTAATTTCAGTTATTTTTTGGGATGACCCATAGGTCAACCCTAACCCCAACATTTAGGGTTAGGGTCTAACATTTGACAACTCAACCTGAAATTCAACCCAACCCGAAATCAAACCCGAAGTGTCTTGGCCCAACTCTAACCTGACCCACCCAACCCAATTGCCATCTCTCTCTCTCTCTCTCTCTCTCTCTCTCTCTCTCTCTCTCTCTATATATATATATATATATATAATGAATGATAAAATATATGTCATATTTTTAATATAAAATATGCATTATATGTCTCATATTATAACATTTATGTATATAAAATAAAACACACACCCTAAAAAAGGCCCTAGCTGGCCCAAAACTTCAAGGTCTTGATGCTGGCTTGATCTAGACATAGAACCTATGCCAAGCCAGGAATTTTTTGGGCCATGTCAGGCTAAGTTATAAATGGTTTCTACTATGATACGAGAAAAACTTGTAAGTTGCAACCAATCATCCGGTATCATAAAAGTGATAACTAGGAAAGTAATGTTTATATGTAGGCCATGTTTGGGAGTGCTTAAACTAAAAATAAGTGCTTAAAAACAAAGTGCTTATTCAAATAAGAACTTAATTGCATTTAGCACCCAACTTTCTCAAGTGCTTACTTTTTAAAATAAACACTTATTATATATTAGGCATTTGGTAATCTTTACTCTAATAAGCACTTAAATAAACATTTGTGACTATTTTGTCCTTCATTTTCTTTCAAACTTTCAAAATATACCCTTTAAAAACACTTTTAAGAAAGCACTTTTATGAAAGCATTTTACAAAGACACTTTTATAAAAACACTTTTATAAAAGTACTTTTATGAAAGCACTTTTATGAAAACACTTTTATGAAAACATTTTTACGAAAGTACTTTTATGAAAGTACGTTTATAAAAGTACTTTTATGAAAGCACCTTTATGAAAACACTTTTACAAAAGTATTTTTCTGAAGCACTTTATAAAACTTTCATAAAAGTGCTTTCGTAAAAGTACTTTTGTAAAAGTACTTTTATAAAAGTTCTTTTGTAAAAATGTTTTCATAAAAGTACTTTCTTAAAAGTGCTTTCATAAAAGTACTTTTATAAAAGTGCTTTTGTAAAAGTTCTTTCATAAAAGTACTTTTATAAAATTCAAATAGGGATAATTTTATATGTGGTATTTTAAAATTCAACTAGGGATAATTCTAGAAGAAAAAATTGAACAAATATTTACTATATAAGCACTTAAAAAAATTTGGAAATTTGGTACGCCCCCCTTAACCACCACTTCCTCACCATTGCCTATGATTAGAAAGGAAGGCTAGAACTGGACCGACGAATAGTCAATCCGTGCAAAGGATTAGATTTTTAGCACGAACCTTTTGATCATTGCACACCATTTCACAACATGGATCGACAATCCAACGCAATAAAGGATTGAACTGAGATCGAGGCCCGTCGGGAAGCTTGGAGAAGGAAAATCCGTAAAAGAAGTGAAGTGGGCGTAAAAGAAGTTCTTTAGCGGGGAAGTTTAAAAAAAGGGAGATGCACTGAGATCCCACACATGGAGTGGGTAGGTTGTGTGTGTGTGTGTGTGTGTGTGTGTGTGTTTGTTAACTAGTTGTCTCTATAGTTGTTTGATTGTGTCCTATTATTCCTCTAGTTGGTTTCGAATAAGAAAAAGGTCATAGGTGGCATTCTATTGATGTGTTTAACCCCTCAAGGGAGGATGGAGTCATGAGAGGAAAATAATCTATGTCAAATGTTTGATTCAATGTACTATGAATCAGATGGGATGGAGGTTGATGATGAAGTACAAGCAAAAGTTGATTTATCAATGGGAGTTGTGTTTAGTGGGTCGGGTTTTTCATGAAAAGGTTATCCATCCAATGGCATTTGAGAGGTATACTCCCAAAATTGTAGGAGGTTAAACGTAGAATTGATATGTAAATCCCTCAAAAGGTTATGTATTGTTTTTCTTTTTTCATGAGGTGGATGTGTAATGAGTATTGGGATGGATGGCTTACCCAATAAGGGTGAATTCGGTATAATTTAAAAAACTTCCCCCAAAAGCAAATCTAAGTTGTCTTCAAAGAATAAAATTGAATGCAATGGAATTGAAGGCTTAAAGTGTATGTGTGCATGTGTGTGTACAAATAAATAAAGTAGCTGAACAAGAAGATTCAGCAAATAAATAGGCAATTACTTTAAACCAATTATCAAAAACAATATAATAATATTAAAATAATTGATGCAAATAAGCATAAATTACAATATGTTGTAGCAAATGAAAGTAAATGAACAAGAATGTAAAGAATAATTGCAAATATACTTTTTATACAAAAGTAAAGCAGATAATAAATATAAATGAACGAAAAAGTAAAGTAACTATTTGTTGGTGCTTATTAGTGAAGTTAGTAGAATGTTGGTTTGTAAGATAAATAAATAACTGTAGAAACTAAAAGTATAGCACAAAGGAAAGTAAAGGCACAAAGAAAACAAGAAGAAATGTGCACACACAATTTTTATGAAGGTTTGTCTAAACATGGCCTACAATCTCTACGTCAAGCAAAGCCCTAAGGATTTTAACTAAATTAATTGAACTTCCATGCACCAGCAAAGAAGCCTATACAACCAACATGACTTCGAGTGTTTGCAATACCTTGGAAAATTTTATATGTGCTTGCCCAACCTAACTTGGTATAACTTATGGGTGTCTACCCAACCTAACTTGGTTAGTAGAACTTACGAATATTTGCCTAACTTAATTTGGTGCAACTTACAAGTGTTTACCCAACCTTTAGTGGTATTCAAACCTTGAACATCTCTTATTCTCAAATGATATTACAATGAAGCTTAGGAACTGTAATTACCTTTCAAATAGGCAAATAAAACATATACAACTCAAATTATTCAAACGCAATTGATGCTTAACACATAAATCTTTGCTCAAATAAGAGATTTGTAATAATTCCATGAAAAACATATAAGTCTTATGGATACTTAGTTTTTTCTCACTATTTTGACCTAATGAAGCTTAGAAATCTCTTCAAGAAAGAATGAAATCTTGCAAAAAACTTACTCACAAAATTATATAGTATATACAATGTAAACTTTATTGATTTCAAACTAAAACTTCTTATTTATAGAGGTTGAGAACAAGTGATTGTTTTTCTATCCATTGAGAATACTTGAGTTCTCAATAAGAAATGTCTTAAACTTGTTCCCAAGACCATGCGAACACTGTTCGCACAA